CAGCCTCAGCTCCCGCTCCTCGCCAGCCGGGAGCCCGGGAGCCGGCACTTCTGACGCTAAGGCTCAGGGTCAGGGCCCTGCCCAAGGCCACAGGGCCCGGCGGGACCTGCACTAAGAACACTGACTCAGCGCCCACGGGCAGGCACTGAATATCTGTTGTTGGGTGAATGCACAGCCCAACAGCTCACACAGGCACAGCCCCAGAGGGAGTCCTGGGCTGTCTGCACCCCTGGGGAGTGAGAAAAGCTGCCGGGCCCCCTGGGGAGCTCCCCGAGCCCAGGTGAGCAGCTGCAAGGACCAGGGGAGGGCCTGGGGTTTCCCGTCCCCAGCTGGGAGCACCTGCTGCTGGGAGCCTCCCGCAATGTCAAGGCCAAGCCCTGCTCCCAGGCCCAGCGCCCTCCCCACAGGGCCCTTCTGAGCGCCAGCCAGTGGGAGAGCCACGGCCCCACAGGGTCCCCTCGGCCCTTTAATCCCAAAGCTCGGGCCCCTGGGGACCAGCCCCAGCTGCTGCGTCGAGGCTGAGACGCAGATGCTGCGTGCAGAGGGCACCTGCTTTGCTCGGGGTCTGTGAGGGGAGCCAGGCCAGGGCGAGACCCGCCCAGGTCACTGAGCCCCCTGAGTCCCATTTGGCATCCATATCCCTGGTTGTTAAAAACAAACCAATGAGTCCGGCCAGCGTGGCTCGGTGGCTGAAGGTCGACCTAGGAAAACAAACCAATGAGTCCGGCCAGCGTGGCTCGGTGGTTGAAGGTCAACCTAGAACCAGGAGGTCACAGTTGGGAAACAAACCAATGAGTCCGGCCAGCGTGGCTCGGTGGTTGAAGGTCAACCTAGAACCAGGAGGTCACAGTTGGATTCCCGGTCAAGGCACAGGCCCGGGTTGCGGGTTCAATCCCCAGTGTGGAGCGTGCAGGAGGCAGCTGATCCATGATTCTCTCTCATCACGGATGTTTCTCTCTCTCTCCCTCTCCCTTCCTCTCTGAAATCAATAAAAATATATTAAAAAATAAAAGCCAAGGAGCCCTGGTCGGTGTGACTCAGTTGGTTGAGCGCTGTCCCATGCACCAAACGGCTGCTGATTCAGCCCTGGCCAGTTTGGCTCCGTGCATAGAGCGTCGGCCTGTGGACCTGGGTTCGATTCCGATCAAGGGCACTTACTTTGGTTGCAGGCTCCTCCCTGGCCGAGGCCCTGATTGGGGTCATGCAGGAGGCAACCGGTCGATGTGTTTCTCTCACATCGATGTTTCTCTGTCTTTCCCTCTCTCTTCCATTCTCCCTAAAAATCAATGGAAAAATATCCTCGGGTGAGAATAAAAAAAAAAGTCGCCGGTTCAATTCCCGGTCAGACACATGCCTGGGCTGCAGGCTGGGTCCCTGGTAGGGGCCATGCAGTGGGGGCAGCCCGTCGATGTCTCGCTCTCACACCGATGTGCCAGGTGCTGACCCCGGGCACACTGCTCCTGGGCAGCCCTTCCCTGGGTCCGAGGGCCAGAGCCGCCGCCTCCAAGGTGTCCATTCCCGCTTACTGCGGGAAATCAATGCACGGGGTGCCGTCCCGGCCAGCGCCCCCGGCTCCCCCGGTGAGGACAGAGCACAGTGATTATCGAAACCACAGGGGTCTGTGGGCTCCTGCACGGAGGGCCGCCGGGAACAGAGCCCCGCCTGTCCCAGGCCTCGCCTCCTGGCGCCAGGCCGCTTCACAGCGCCAACCCCTCGGCTCCGTGCGGCCTCCTGGGCTCCCGCAGGGCCCCCCTCACACCCAGAAAGTGTGTCCATTTGCTCCAAGACGGTCACTAAGGCCAGGGCTGAGGCTGGCCTTGGAGGGGCCCCAGCCAGGGAGGTCTCAGAGGTGGGTGGAGGGGCCAGCACTTGGGGGGGAGGGGGACCCCGAGTGGCCATTCAGGGAGGGGAAAATGCAGCTGCCCAGGGGTCTGCGAGGCCTACGCCCACGCAACAGGCTCAGTCCCCAGTGGGGGGCGTGCAGGAGGCAGCCGATCAGGGATTCTCTCTCATCAGTGATGTTTCTCTCTCTGGCTCCCTCTCCCTTCCTCTCTGAAATCAATAAAAATACATTAAACACACACACACACACACACACACACAGAAGCTGGAGGGATCCAACAGACACATTTCCCTTAATGTCCACTAGGTGGTGGCCCCGACAAGGCCCCACAGGACCCAGAGCCCTGGCTTAGAGCAGATGCAGGGGTTTGGATGGTGGCACTCCTTTTTCTAGCTGTAACCTTGAGCGAGTTACTCCATCTCTCGGCCTCAGTTGTTCCATCTATAAAATGGGTTTGTTGAGCGCTCCTGCCTCAGGGCTAAGCAAGGCTGAAGTGATGACCTGCATGCAGCACTCAGCTCAGGGCCGGCCCTGGACTTGCTCGGTGGACGCGCCCCCCTCCCCACTGGGCCCCGCACCTCCTCTCCTCCGGGACAGCCCTCACCCCACAGGGAGAGAGCTGGGGGTGGTGGGGCCGTCGGAGGGGGGACACAGCGGGGACAGAGGGTGCTTTCACCCAGGGAGGCAACGGGTGGCCCCCCGTGTCCAGACCCCAGGAAGGAGATGGTGACGCACAAGGCTTTCTCTGCCGAATTCCCAGGCGGAGGCTGACCGGGGACGCGGG